GTACTCATGTTCACTGAGCAGAGCCTGAAGGCATCATCATGTAACTGTGCTGCTAACGTTACCAGCTCTCCTCCTGTTGGTTGTCAGAGATCAGCGACTATATATACATATTTCTAAATAGACATTTTGTTTCCAGACTTTGCAGAGAACCGTCTGAAGCTGGCTGAGATCCTCTACTACAAGATCTTGGAGAACGTCCTGGTTCAGGAGAACAAACGGCTGCACGGCAAAGACATGAGTGTAAGAAACAAACACACGTGTGGGTGTGTGTCACTAAACATCTCTCAGCTGCATCTTTTTATTCTTCTTCTTTCACCCTCATGTGGTTCAGAGCTCACATGTACAATCACCTCTTTACTTTTATTTCTCTACAGTAATGTTGCACGGTGTATCGATACTAAAAAGTTACCGCGGTACCCGTACGTTAAAAACGATACGATTTTGCATATTTTTAGTATCGATACTTCATTAAAATACCACAATCACTCACTGCTCCGCTCCCTGTCATGCTGCCTGCAGGCATTGACTGCAAGGGGGCGGGGCTGCCCCGCGCTCACACAGCAACAGGCAGCCTCACTCACGGCAGTGATAGCAGGGGAGACATGCATCAAGGTCCGTGTACGTTTTGATAGTCTGTTTTACCGTTCAGTCGAAAAAACGACAATACAGAAATACCATGGTATTCTCATTTTTCGTTTCAAACCAAAAACGGAAAAACGGAAATGGTGGTCCGTGTACGGTCCCCACTGACATACAGAGACCCGTCTGCGAAACCTGTTTCAAAGCCACACAGACCAAGGGAGGCAACACGTCTAACATGGCAAAGCACCTTTCAGACAGACACCCCCAACTTTTCAAAGAGTTCAAAGAACGACGGGTAAACATGAACACCCCCAAGCTCCCCCATAGACAGCTAACACGAGTAGCCTTAGCCTAGTTTGAGGACAAGCCTCTATGATCATGAGGTCACAATGCTCACAGAAGTGTACTAAATGAAACACAATTGATGCAAAATGGCTCAATGCTGGTGGAGCCTGAGGGTGGATCTTGAGCTAATTCTTTTTATTTTTAGTTAAGGAAAAATAATTATTCCATGAATTAAGATAAAATATGAAGTGAAAATATCAAACTCGCTATGCAAGTAAATGTAAAAGCATTGTTTATCCACCCACTCCCACAGACAGCCAGACAGATAAATATACCAGTATCGTATCGTATTTGTGGTATTGTATCGAATTCTGGTATCGTATCGTAAGTATCGGGTATCATGATACTTATGGCAGGTATCGTATCGAAGTCATAATTTTGGTATCGTGACAACCCTACTCTACAGTAAATATTTCATGTCAAAGTTCATTAAAACTCTAAAACCATAAATTCTAAAGAACTTTCTCTTTATGGAAAATGACTATATTTTCTTTCTCTTGCTTTCTCTCATTTAATTTGATGTCTCCAGATGTTTTGTGATGTTGTGTTGGCTGCCTCATGAAGACATGTTTTGTTGTACTTTATGTGTGTGTGTGTGTGTGTGTGTGTGTGTGTGTGTGTGTGTGTGTGTGTGTTTGTCACACAGGTGTTGTTGGAGCAGGATATCTTCCACTGCTCCCTGATGGCCTGTTGTCTGGAGGTGGTGTTGTTCTCCTACAGCTCCCAGAGAACCTTCCCCTGGATCATCAACATCTTCAAACTGACTCCATTCTACTTCTTCAAGGTCTCACACACACACACAGATACACACACACACACACAGATGCACACACGTTTACATCTTTAAAAAGTCAGTCTCCATCACAGTAGTTAGTGTGTGAATAATACTGGATGTATTGTGTGTGCCTGTGCGTGTGTGTATGTGTGTGTGTGTGCAGGTGATCGAGGTGTTCATCCGCTCAGAAGAAGGTCTCTCCAGAGACATGGTGAAGCATCTGAACCTCATTGAGGAGCAGGTTCTGGAGAGCAGAGCGTGGAGCGCAGACTCTGCCCTGTGGAGTGCCTTGCAGGCTGCTGGGAACAGGGTCCCCATGGTGGAGGAGGTCAGCACATATTTATATTATGTCGGGAAACACTCCAACCTGTGACGATAATTCACAAAGTAATCATGTCCTCACGTCTGGCTTTGACTTTTAACATCCCAAACGAGTATTTCCAGCACAATTGTGATATTTTGTGTTCCTTGAATGCATCGTGACGTCCTGAGAGCGAACTCGCTGAGCTCAGAGCAGCATGAACTCTTCACTCTGTCTGTGTCTTTATGTCTCTTTCTCCTCCTTTGTCTCTCTCCAGGTGAACTTTCCCTCCAGTCTGGACACAGGTTCTGGTCCTGGTCCTGGTTCTGGTTCTGGTTTTCAGTCTCACCTGCCTCTGGTCGCCCTCTCCCCCATCATCCACCCCCGCATCAGGGAGTTCAGGTCCGGTCTGGGCAGCGCTCGTAAAGGTGTGTTCAGCTGTTTCTGTAGACGATCTGTGTGGTGACGTCGTGGTCTGTGACCGTAGACTGTAACGACTCTTGTTAGTTTGTGGACGTTTTGAAGTCTCGAGTCAGGCCGTCGCCATCTTGTTTTTATCAACCAGTGAACAGGAAGTGACCATATCTGGACTGAGGAGGAGTGACGTAGAGACGCCGTATATGTCTCTGGTAGAGACCTGTCAATCATCGTGTAGCCCCGCCTTTAACACATGAAGAACCAGAGGTTGTCTCCTGTCTATCATGAACCTTCTCATCTGTTTCTTTCTTCCAGATGTTCCTCCGTCTCCGTTGTCGGTACACGACCGCTACAGCTCTCCGGCAGCTGGCAGCGCTAAACGTCGTCTGTTCGGAGACGATCCTCCGGTCCGGTCTATAGGCGTGACCCCCGGCAGCCCGATGACATCGCCGGCCAAGAGGTTGATGTTCGGCTCCAGCAGCACTCTGAGGATCGGAGCTCAGGGAGGCCAGACCACCGTCCTCAGTATCCCGCTGCAAGGTACACATTACATTACATTACAGTCATGTAGCAGACGCTTTTATCCAAAGCGACTTACAATAAGTGTATTCAACATCGGTATTCAAGAGAACTACTAGTCACCAGAAGTCATAAGTGCATCTCCTTTAAACAAGCATCTAAGAGCATAAACCAGAGCAGAAGTACAGAAACAAACTAGTATGAATACAATAAGTGGTGAGTGAAGGCTCAGGGTAGTACTTCTTGAAGAGGTGAGGTTTCAGCCTGATGAAAGACGGGCAGCGACTCTGTTGTCCTGACGTCAGTGGGGAGTTCATTCCACCACTGTGGGGCCAGGAGGTGAGGGAGGAGGGGACAAGTGAGGTACAGGAGGTGAGGCAGAGTACTGGAGGACAGGTGGAGACAGGTAGGGAGGTGGACATAATAATGATAATAATGCATTTTATTTGTAACGCACTTTTCATTTAAAAAAATCTCAGAGTGCCACAGAGCCAGTACATAGTAAAAACATAGTTAAAACAAACTATAATAAAATAACTAGTAAGCATAGAAAAAACCCAGTGAATGTACAGAAACAAAAGAAATAACTGACAGTGATTTAGGTCAGAAACGCCTTCCTGAATAGAAAGGTTTTTAGGCCAGTCTTAAAGAGACCAGTGTCTGTGTTGCCCTTAGGTGGTCAGGGAGACTGTTCCATAGGCGTGGAGCTGCCGAGCCAAAGGCCCGGTCGCCCATGGTGCGGAGCTTGGTGTTGGGGACCCGGAGGAGCGAGTTGTTTGAAGATCTGAGGGTACGGGTGGAGATTTGGGGAGTGATGCGCTCTTGTAGGTAGGGAAGTGCGTGTCCATTTATGCATTTATGTGTGAGTAGTAGGACTTTGTAGTCAATCCGGAATGAGACAGGGAGCCAGTGTAGTGAGTGCAGAATGGGTGTTATGTGCTGTGCTCATACTTCCGGACTCTCATCAGGATCCTGGCAGCGCTGTTTTGGATGTATTGCAGCTTCTGGATGTTCTTGGCAGTGATCCCGTTGAATAGTGAGTTACAGTAGTCCAGTCTTGAGGAGATAAAGGCGTGGACGAGCTTCTCTGCATCTGACAGGGTTAAAGTGGGGCGGAGTTTGGAGATGTTTTTGAGATGATAAAACGAGGTTTTGCACAGATGTTTTATATGGTCATTAAAGGTCAGGTAAGAGTCAAACCTAACTCCCAGATTAGTGACTGTGGAGGAGAAGGGGATGACCTGACCGTCGAAGGTGTGATGAGTTATGGAGGATGACTGAACCTGGTGTGGAGTGCCAACAAGGAGGGCTTCGGTTTTGCTACTGTTTAACTGGAGAAAGTTGTTGCTCATCCACGCCTTTATCTCCCCAATACAGGAGGTAAGAAATGGCATGGCTGCAGAGGGGCTTGGGGCAGTTTTGATGTAGAGCTGTGTATCGTCGGCATAACAGTGGAAAGACATCCTATGTCTGCTGATGACACGACCGGAGGGACACGAGGAGCAGCTCAAAACCCCTCAGCTGAAGAGGAAAACGGAAGGAGACAGTGGAAACTCACAGGCGAAGAAAGTCGCAACGAAAGGAAGTAGAGGAGCAGTAGAGTGTGAGTCCAGCCTGGAGGAGGACTCTGAGTCCAGCCTGGAGGAGGACTCTGAGTCCAGCCTGGAGGAGGACTCTGCTGCTGACAGTGAGCTCTCTGAGTGCAGGGCTGGCAGCTGTAGGAGCTCTGAAGGCTACAGTGTGGAGGAGATACAGGATTATCTGCTGAGGAGTAAGAATGTAAGAGGAGCTAAAGTAGAGGACTACCTCTCTGACAAAGAGAAGCTCTTCAACTCTGTCAGATCTCATATGAGCAGTAAAGACAGAGGAGGTCTCACAGAGCAGGAAGGCTTCAGACTGAAGAAGATAAAGAAGAGCCGACACTGTGAGGAGACAGAACCTGAACATGAACAACATGCAGGAGAAACGGTGCAACGATGAAGCACAATGTTGTGTGTCTGGAGATGAGCTAACATTCAATGCTCCTTTAAAACATTGTGAAGAGAAACTGTTTTGATTTGTTTTGTTGATTTGTTTCTTTTTTATTGCCATGGCAATGTTTTTTTCTTCTTTCATGTTTTAAGAAAATAACGGTTTCTAAAAATCAAAAACAAATCTCCCTTTCTCCCCCCCCCAGGTGTGAATAACGAGCGCACCATCACACTGATCCCGTTTCAGCCGTGTGACTCCTCCGGTACGATCACGGCTCAGTTCCTGCTGACCTCGTCACCGAGCAGAGTCACCGCCCCCCCCACCACCGCTGACCCCCAGACGGGAACCGGACGACCGAGACGCACCGGATCACTCGCTCTGTTCTTCAGGAAGGTAGCGAACGTCCTCATCATCATCATCATCATCATCATCACTCATTTAGATTATGATGTTGGTTACGTAGCTTAGCATAGATCAGGGCTGTTGATTTTAAAGGAACAGTGTGAAACATTTAGGGTAGAAATGTAATATGATATTAATAAGTTTCTTTTCTTTAACGAGCTAAAGATCTGTTTAACTACAGAAGTCCAGAACGGACAAACTAAACACGTTCACGTTTACATTGTTTAACCGTAGTTTTCTCCTCTGGAGGAGTTTCAGTCTGAATTCTCTCCACCAGATGGCGACAGATCTTTAACACCGGCCCTTTAAGACCCTTTGAGGGAAACGTCTGGCTTCATGAATGACTTTGTATGAATCATAATTTCTAATAATCGTAACTCCTCCACCTGCTTCATGCTCTGGTCTCGTGTCTCCGTCTCTCAGGTGTACCACCTGGCCAGCGTGCGTCTCAGGGATTTGTGCGTGAAGATGGACATCTCGTCGGAGCTCCGAGGGAAAATCTGGACGTGTTTTGAGCAATCGCTGGTCCACAGTACTGGTCTGATGAGGAACCGACACCTGGACCAGCTGCTGCTGTGCAGCGTGTACATCATCTCCAAAGTGAGGAACCTCATCTGATCCTCTACCTGGATCACAGAGACCTGGACTCTCTGATCCTCTACCTGTTTCTTCCTCACAGATCACCAAAGAGACTCACAGCTTCCACGACATCATGAAGTGTTACCGCAGCCAACCACAGGCCAGCAGCCATGTGAGAGACACACACACACATCTACACTCCCACACACACACATATCTACACACACACACATCTACACTCACACACACACACACACACACACACACACACACACACACACACACACACACATATCTACACACAAAATTAAACCAGACAATCAATAATAAAAATATGTATATTAATCAATACAAATGAACTAACCGTGTGTGTGTGTGTGTGTGTGTGCAGGTGTACCGCAGTGTGCTGCTGCGTCACAGAGAGCAGGTGACTGATGAGAACATGGAGGTGGATCCTGTTTCAGGAGGAGAATGTAAGAACATCAGTTACTTTAACTAATCACGTTATATAAGTGATGTAATCTGATTACTCTGTTACTTCTGGAGAGAAAAACGACTTGAATCAATGAAAACAAGCTTTGATGAATCGACTAATCGTCAGTTTATGATTTTACTTTTTATGTTTGTCTCATCAGCTGCAGAGAAAGCCAATCAGGTCCCAGGACAGGCCGACTCCGACCAATCAGGCGAGGAGGAACGCGGTGACCTCATCCAGTTCTACAACAGCGTCTTCGTCCTGAAGATGAAGAGCTTCGCACTGCGTTACGCAACCCAGGACAACCGGGTAGGATGGGCTGAACCGGGTCAGATAACCGGGTTAGTACAAAGAAACCAGTACAACATGTTTAATGTATGTGTGTGTGTGTGTGTGTGTGTGTGTTCCTCCAGGCCGACGCCCCCCCCCCTGTCCCCGTTCCCGGTGGTCCGGTCTCAGCCTCTGTCTCCTCGCCGGGTGTCTCAGAGACACTCTCTCTACGTTTCTCCTCACAAGAACTCAGCCGGCTGCCTCACGCCGAACTCCTTCACCTACAGGATCAACAGCAGCCCGTCTAAGGCAGGACCACACACAC